CCCCACACTAATGAAATTTATCTTTGCTTGTTGAAGTTGATGGTAGAGCCAAGGATAGATGCTTGGATAGGAGGGTAGGTAAAGAAGGAAGGAAGACCTTATTAGCTATGTTACTTTTGTGACTATTGATATCCCTGTGTTTGCATAGTTGAAAATATATCCCGATTACATTACAGTAGAATTAAATTATATGTGTATATTTCATTATTGTAGACCTTAAAATTTATAAGATATTAATCATTCTATTGTTTTAGAAGTCTTAATACTTGAGAAAATACAACAATCACAGTAAAAAGCTTTGTAGATGGGCTCAACAACAGAATGAAGGGGACAGGAATCAATGAACTGGAAGACAGAACAATAGAAATTATCTAGGCTTAACAATAGAAAATAGACTGAAAAATCAACAGTCTCAGGGACCCCAGATACTATAACAAAAGGTGTTAACAATCCTATTATCAGCGTCCCAGAAGGAGAGGAAAAGACAGTAGGGCTGAAAAAGTAACCAAGTCATGACTGAAAATTTTCTACATTTGGTGAAAGACATAAACCTGCAGATTCAAGAAGCTAAACAAACCTCATTCAGAAGAAATCCACAGCAAGAAGCATCATAATTAAACCTGTCAAAACTGAATACCAACAAAAAGATCTTGAAAGCAGCCAGGAAAAAATGACACGTTAAGGAAGATGCTGTAGTTTGAGTATTTGTTTCCACCAAAATTCGTGTTGAAATATAATCCCCAGTGTAGCTGTATTGAGAGGCGAGACCTTTAAGTGGTAATTGGGTCATGAGGGCTCTGCTCTTATGAATAGATTAATCCATTCATGGGTTAATGGATTCATGGGTTATCATGGGAATAGGACTGGTGGCTTTGTAAGAAGAGGATTAGATATTCGAGCTAGCATACTCAGCCCCCTCACCATGTGATGCCCTGCACCCCCTTAGGATTCTGCAGAGTCCCTGTTAGCAAGAAGGCCCTCACCAAGCACCTGTTGCAGTCCCTAAAAAAAAAAAATAATAAGGCATTGAAATAACAGATTTATCATCAGTAACCACGGAGGCCGCCAGAAGGATATGCCACTAAATTTTTCAAATGCTAAAAGGACTGTCACTGTAGAATGCTACACTTGATGAAAATATTTTTCAGGAATGCAAGGAAGGGAAATCAAGACATTTTCAGATGAAGAAAAACTAAGAATTTGTTGCCACTACATTTACTCTAAAAGAATAAAGGAGTTCTCTAAACAGAAAGGAAACAAAAGAAGGAAACTTGAGATGTGAGGAAAGGGGAAAGAAGGTGATAAACAAAAGTATGGATAAATACAGTAGACTTCTCCTCTTATGTTTTCTAAATTATAATTGGTAGTTGAAACAAAAATTGTAACACGGGTGTGGTTCTAAATGTATGTAAAGGAAAAAAGAAAATTATGGCTGAGTTCAGTGACTCACACCTGTAACTCCAGTGTTTTGGGAGGCCAAGACAGGAGGATGGCTTGAGGCCAAGAGTTTGAGACCAGCTTGAGGAACATAGTGAGACTTCGTCTCCATAAAAATTTTAAAAATTAGTCAGGCTTTTGGTGCATGCCTGTAGTCCTAGCTACTCAGGAGGCTGACATAGGAAAATCAGTTGAGCCCAGGTGTTTGGGGCTGCAGTTAGCCATGGTCACACCACCACACCCCATCCTGAGTGAAAGAGCAAGACCCTGTCACACACACAAAAAGAAAATTATAAACAGGGGAAGGTAAAGGAGGTAGGATTTCTGCACTTCATTCCAACTGGTAAAATGACGATGTGAGTAGCATGTGAGAAATTATTATATGTAATGTAATATCTAGAGAAACTTCTCAGAAACACTATATATAAATCAAAAGAGAATTCTAAAAAATGTTTAACCTGCAGAAAGGCAGGAAAAGTAACAAATAAGCAGAGAGAACAAATAGAAAATAAAATCATAGACTTAAGCTCTACCTTATTAAAAATTACATTAAATGTAAATAGTCTAAATAAAAGATATTGTCAGAGTGAACAAAAAACATGAGCCAACTGTATTCTATTTATAAGAAATTCGCTTCAAATATAACAGTATAAGCAAGTTTTAAGTAAATGGATAGAGGAAGACATTTTATGCAAACATCGATTGAAGGAAACAGAAATGACTGCATTAATATCAGATAAAGTGGACTTAGAACAAAGAAAATTCATGGAGATAGAGAGGAACATTATATAATGATAAAAGGGATAATCACTCAAAATATGTAGTGATCACAAGTATGTACACACCAAACAGCAGAGCTGTAAAAACTGCGGGGGGAAACTGGTAGACCTGAATGCAGAAACAAAAGAATCCACAGTTAGGTATCGAAGGCTCCAACTGTAAGTGTATATTTGATGGAACTATCTAGAAAATCAATGTATAGAGTAACTCAGTGCCACCATCAACCAACAGCACATTTATAGCACGCTCTACCCAACAACAGAATACACATGGCATTTCAAGTGCCAGTGGGACATATAGCAAAATGGATCATATTCTGGGCCATAAAACAACTGAACTTTTAAAGAATTGAGATAATGTAAAGTGTGTTTTCTGACTAGTCAAATTAGAAATCAGTAACAGAAAATAACAGAAGCATCTCCAAAATACTTGGAAATTAAACAACTTCCAAATAATTCATTGGTCAAAGATGAAGTCTTAAGGGAGGTTAAAAAATGGATGGGATGGAATGAAAATAAAAATATGATACAACATATCAGAAGTTGTGGGATACTGCTATAGCAGTGCTGAGAGGGAAATTTATAGCAGTCATGCATACATTAGAAAAGGGGGAAATTTTCAAAACAAATATCTAAGCCTTTAGCTGATGGACCTAGGAAAAGAAGAGAATATCAGCCCAAAGTAAGCAGGAAGGAGGAAATATAAAGATAAAATCAGTGAAACTGAAAACAAAAATTGAGAAAATGAAACAAAGAGATGGCTCTTTGATAAGATCAATAAAACTGACATAAAAAGGTAGATTATCAGTATCATAAATGAAATAGGAGATATTACAACAGACCCTATCAACGTCAGAAAAGATAATAAGGGAATACTACAAACAACTCTACACACATAAATTACAGATGAAATGGACCAATTCTTCAAAAAACAAAAGCTATTGCAGCTCATCCAGTTTGAAATAGTTAATTTGCATAGTTCTATGACCACTAAGGAAATTGATTTCTAGTTTTAAAACTTTAAAAAAAGAATATTCACGTCCGGGTGGTCACACAGAATTCTGGCAAATGTTTAAAGAATTAACACCATTTCTGTACAATCTCTACCAGAAAACAGATGAAAAGGGAACATTTATTTTTCATTTTACACAGCTGGTATTACATTGATAACAAAACCAGACGACGATAGTTAAAAAAAAAAAAATTTATAGACTATAGACCAATATCCTTCATGAATATAGATGGCAGAAGTCCTTAATAAAGTATTAGCAAATAAAATTCAGCAATATATAAAAAGAGTTATACACCATTACCAAAAGGTCACTCCAGGGATGCTAGATGGTTCAGTTTTTAAAATATCAATTAATGTAATCCGCCATACTAACATGCTTAAGAATGATTCCATGCAGTAAAATAACTTGACAAAATCCAACACCTATTCATAATGAAAAAAATTAAAACTCCCAGAAAAATAGGAAAGAGACTTTTTCCTTTACTTGATAAACAGCATCTAGAGAAAACCTGCAATTACCGTTTTATGTAATTGTGAAAGACTGAGTGCTTTTACCTTAAGTGTGAGAACAAGGCAAGGATGTCTGCTCTTAGCACTCTTATTCAACATGCTAAGAATCAGAGGGAGTACCCTCTTATTGGTAAAGCTTACCCTTTTTCTTAATGGCTAAATATTTAGTGCTTTCCCTTTTAAGAGTGAGAATAATGCAAGGATGTTTGCTCTAACTCATTCTTCTCAGTGCTGCAAATTTTAGCTGATACAAGAAGGCAAAAAGAAGAAAAAAGACATACAGATTAGAAAATAAGGAATAAGACTGTCCCTATTTGCAGATGGCATGATTGTCTATGCAAAACAAAAAACAAAAAACAAAAAAACACCATGAAATCTCAAAAATAAACCTTCCTAGAATTGATAAGTGAATTCAGTAAGGTTGAAGAATACAAGATAAACATACAGAAGTCAGTTATATTTCTTTATGCTAACAATGAACACATGGACACTAATGTAAAAATACATACCATTTGTGATCACTTAAAAAAGAATAAAAGGTTTAAATCTAGCAAACATTACAGAATATGTATGCTTAGAATTATATCATGCTGGTGAAAGAAATTAAGATCTGAGTAAGTGTAAAGGCATACTGTGTTCATGGATTAGAACGCTTATTCTAGTAAAGATGCCAGTTTTCCCCAAATTGATACACAAGTTCTCCCCAAATTGATACAAAAAGGAATTTCATGCATTTCCTGTCAAAATTCCCGTAAGTTCGTTGTTGTTGATATGGATAAGATTATTTTCAAATTTACCTGAAATGGCAGAAGAACTGGAATGGGTAAAACTGTTTTTTAAAAGAAGTATAAAGTTGAAAGAATCAGTCTACCTGATTTTTATTATATAGCTACAATAATCATACATTGAAATATTCCCTGAAAGATGACTTTTGGGAAGAGGGGAGAGGAAAGAAATGCTAAATTACATTAACAGACAATTTTGAGGGGGAAGGGAAAAAGGGAAGAAGCTCTATATTAAGTATACACATCAATGTAAGATACAGCCTAATATGTGTTGTGAGTGAAGTGGGGGAGTGGGGGAGTGGGGGAATAAGCCCTCCAGTAAATGTCCTTCACTATGGTTGATTTTTCTTTAATCTCAAAGTGAATGTAATACAAAATAATTCATTTATTTTCTGTTGAGGTTGAATTAATCTTGTATTTTATAATTTGGAAAAGTTTAATGATTCATTATTTTGAATGTGTTTTTATACTTCACAGTGAGAGACCAACCACCAATTTGCCTTGATGTTAGACAAAAACAGCGTGTATCTATGGATGCATCATCATCCGAAATGAAGGCCCCAGTCCTTCCAGAACCTATTCTTCCTATCCAGCCCAGAACTATGAAAGACTTTCAGTAAGTTTCAGCTCACTATTATATGTAAATGTATAATCATCTGCATGTCAGCACTTTACATAATTTAATATATTTATTTGAGAAATTAATTTAACTTTTGGATCATTATAAGGTGTTAGCCAAGAGGACCTCAAAAGACTTTATGTCTCAAGTTGAAGGTGAAAGAAAACAAATGTATGAATAACAGGTAAGAGTTAGATAGGCTGTAGCAAAATAAAGGAAATGCTAAGTAAGAGTCTATGAGTCAAAACAAAAAAAGATAAAGGTGGTAATTAAATAATAGACTGTTACCATTTTTAAAAATAAGAGTTCATTTATGATGTGATACATACTATAAAAGTTATGTCACCATTCAAAATCTCCAGATGCATATTTGAAGGACTAAATGGGAATGATAAAGACAGAATGTAAACAAAGTCTCCAGAAGTTTAGCTGTGAAGGGAAGGAAAGAGTGATAATTGAAAGAGACATGTTAAGAATGATCTTTTTTAAAAATAAGTAAATGGGAAAGTTAAAGCTGGATTAATATCTTAATCCAATTAAGAATTATAAATCCATAAACTATATTAACTGGGACATATTTCTTTATTTGGTTTCAGTATTTCGTATTGCATACTTGGTGACATTTATTTAAAAAGTAGTGCTAGTTTATCTGAATAATATTTCTATATATATATGGTTAATGTATGTTTTCATTTTAGGGAAGATGTAGAAAAAGTTAAGTCATCAGGAGATTGGAAAGCAGTACATGATTTTTATCTAACAACATTTGATTCTTTCCCAGAATTAAATGCTGCATTTAAGGTAATTATACATAAAACACATTTTTCATTTAACTTTTAGTTTTAAATTTTCCAGAAATGATAAATTTACCTCATTTATACCCAATATTGATTTAAACATGCATATATATGTGTTGATTTCAGAAATTATACAGTACATACAATTATGTAATATTACACATACTATATAAGTATACGGGTTTTTTTTTTGAGGGGGAGGTTGTTTTGTTTTGTTTTGAGATGGAGTCTCACCCTGTTGCCCAGGCTGGAATGCAGTGGTGCAATCTCAGCTCACTGCAACCTCCGCCTCCTGGGTTCACGCAATTCTTGTGCCTTAGCCTCCTGAGTAGCTGGGATTACAGGTGCCTGCCGCCACACCTGGCTAATTTTTGTATTTTTAGTAGAAACGGGGTTTCACCATGTTGGCCAGGCTGGTCTTGAACTCCTGACCTCAGGTGACCCCTCCCATGTCAGCCTCCCAAAACACTGGGATTACAGATATAAGCCACTGTGCCCAGCCCTTAAATATTGTTTTTACTTGCTCTAATGTTCATGTTTAACTCCATACCTTCAGTTTTAAAAAAGAAAGTTATTAAAATAATCTTTGCACATTTCTTTTTATTTTCAGAAATTTTGCCTTAAAGTTCTTTTTTATTGTCAGACTAAAAAATAGTCAAAATTATGAAGGAATAGTATGATTCAAATTTTACTAAGAATAGTCTTCAAAATGTTGAATATACTTAATTCTTAAATTGAATTTGCAGAAAGATGCCACTGCCTCATTTAACACCATTGAAGACTCTGGGATTAATGCTAAATTTGTGAATGCTGTGTATGATACCTTACTTAATACTGTAAGTATTATGACATGCAAGTAATATTATTCTGTCTCTTCTGTATTTCAAAAGCAGCCACACAAATATTATAAAAATCTCCTTATAACATAATTACTTTAGAAATTCTGATACAATTTTATAGTAAATGTAGCTAGAATTCTCAGAAAGTTAGATTATTTTATTCTTTCATTTTTTAATTATGAATTAAGCAGCAAGTACTTTTATATCCAGTCCTTTTTTAGAAAGACTTGCTAAAATCATGCTTTACTTACTCAGCAAAAGGAAGTGAGTTACTTAATTATATTGGAATTGCACTGAATCTGTAGATCAGTGGTTCTTAAACATTAGCCTATATCAGAATCACAAGAAGGTCTTGTTAAAATACAGAATTTCAGATTCAGTAGGTCTTGGGTGAAGCCCAAGAATTTTCATTTGTAACAAGTTCCCAGGATATATTGATGCTCCTGACCCAGGGACCACATTTTTTTTTTAACTTTATTTATTATTATTATACTTTAAGTTGTAGGGTACAAATGCATAACGTGCAGGTTTGTTACATATGTATACTTGTGCCATGTTGGTGTGCTGTACCCATCAACTCGTCATTTACATCAGGTATAACTCCCAATGCAATCCCTCCCCCCTCCCCCCTCCCCATGATAGGCCCCGGTGTGTGATGTTCCCGGAAGTTAACGGTAAGGGAAAGATTAATTATCCGAGACACACAAGGGGAGCAACGGTCAGAGCTGACCAATGCAAGATTTTTCCAAACACAAGCAGACCAAGGGTAGACTTACATAATTGGAAAAATGCAAGGGCACAATTCCACATAGCCAAGCAACCCAATGACTTTCTTCGAGCACTGACACACTGAAAAACACTAGACTTTAAAGTTCATATGGAACAAAAAAGAGCCCCGCATCGTCCAAGACAATCCCTAAGTCAAAAGAACAAAGCTGGGGCATCAACGCTACCTGACTTCAAATATCTACAGGTCTACAGTAACCAAAACAGCCATGGTAGTGGTACCAAAAGCAGATATAGACCCATGGACCAGAACAGACGTCTCAGAAATAATACCGACACATCTACAATGCCATCCTGATCCTTTGCGACAAACCCTGAAGAAACAAGAAAGTGGCGGAAAAGGATTCCCTATTCTTAATAAATGGGCTGGGAAAATTGGCTAGCCATAAGTACGCAAAGCTGACTGGATCCTTTCCTTACTCCTTATACGGAAAATTATTCAAGATGGATTAGAGAGCTTAAATGTTAGACCCTAATACCATAGAAAATCCTAGAGGAAAAACCTAAGGTACGTCACCATTCAGGACAATAGGCCAGTGGGCAAGACTTCATGTCTACAAACACAAGCAAGCCGCAGCAAAACGCCCAAAATTGACACATGGGCATCCTACATTAAACCTGAAAAGGTTCTGCACAGCAAAGAGAAACTACCCATCATAGTGAACAGGCAACCCTAACAGAATGGGGAGAAAATTTTTGGCAATCCTACTCATCTGACAAAGGGCTAATACCAGAACCCACAGAGAAATCAAACAAAATTTACAAGAAAAAACCAAACAACCCCATGCAAAAAGTGGGCAGAGGATAGTGCAACAGAACAATTTTCTCAAAAGAAGACATTCATACACGCCAACAGACGACACTGAAAAAATGCTCATCCATCACTGGCCATCAGAGAAATGCAAATCAAAACCACAGAGATACCATCTCACACCAGTTGGTAAATGCGAATCATTAAAAGCAGGAAACAACAGGTGCTGGAGAGGATGTGGGCATAAATAGAACACTTTTTCACACTGTTTGGTGGGATTGTACAGACAAGCTTCCAACCAATTGTGGAAAGACCAGTAACTGGCGATTCTCTAAGCGATCTAGAACTAGATGTACATATGACCAGCCATTCCCTTACTGGGATACTCCCAAGGATTATAAATAATGCTGCTATAAGAACACATTGCACCGTTGTTATTGGCAGCACTTTCACCAGCGGATAGCAAAGACTTGGAACAAGCCCAAATGTCATCTATGACAGATTGAATTAAAAATGGGCTGCACACTATACACCATGGGAGGATACTATGCACGCCATAAAAAAGAGAGTGTGTGTCCTTGTAGGACATGGATGCAGCCTTGGACAACCATCATTCTCAGCAACAACTATCACAAGAACAGAAAACAACACCAGCATGTTCTCACTCATACGGTGGGAAGCTGAACAATGAGTCACTTGGACTCAGGAAGGGGC